ATTTGTATGATCGCGTCCAAATGCACGCATGTGCATGGGAGCGCATGCACGTGCATGCGAGTGCATGCATGTGAATGTGGAGTGCAGCATGTATGTGCGTTAGTTCATGAATGCAGTTATGTCTATATTGTAGCAGCATAAACCACTCACCGACTTGACAGCAGGTGTGAATTCGTAGAGGAGGACGGATAAGCGCTGAAGCTTAACCTCAGCTTCACTCCTAATACTTGATTCTATCAGGTCCTGCTTCCATACGAACAGGTATATTCCAAACCACAAGGATGGCAAGCATATCAATAGCTTCAGTAACAAGTACGGTAACAAAACAAAAGGAAGGAAATAAAAAACGAGGTGGACGATTGCCGTAAGTAGGAGTAACATGCAAAAGAAAATATCTTTCGCCAAGTTGAAACCCCCCTTATCAAACACGAAACTTACACTGCAAGCGATGAGCTCATTCGCCAATCTATTCGCTACTGCCAGAGCCATTGGAGCCGGAAGGCCGATAGCTACAGCCACGGCCACGAGAAACGGCGGGGCAGACGAGGAGACGCCTGTGGAATGGTGCGTGCTGCATTGCACAAATGAAACGAGAAGAAGGCGACAGGGATGATTCCTGCTGCCATGCAAGGAGAAATTATGGGTCAATATCAGGGTCATCCCACTTACTATCCCTCACCACCACTCCTTTCCTGCCAATTCCTCCCACCTTCTATTTCTATCCACTTATTCCCTTCTCACCGCAACTCCATCCCTACTCCATCCCTATCCTCCCCTCACCTTCTCGCTCACCTCAAGCATTCATCCAGTGCCAGCTGGATAGCAGCGTCAAAGACAATCAAGCGCACAGAGTCCGTCTGAGTGTGCCACGTGTGTTCAGATGCATTCCACGCTGCCAAGATCTGACAGCTCCAAGGCAAGGATAAGAATCGAGTGGTGGATCACATGTTAGATGTGAGATACATTGAAGCAAGGGGACAAATGCTTAAGTGTATAGCGCGGATTTATTGGACAAACATCTGCACAACTTGCAGTGGACCAACACTTTGCAAAGGGATTCTGTTGTGTGGACCTGGAGGAGAGCTTCTGGTGGGATGTGGCCCTTCGAGTTGAAATCCTCCAGTGCACCTGACATCTCATCACAGTGCCACGAAGATAGCATATATCCGTACTCAATAAATGACATTGGACAGTTACCATGCCCTACTAAACGAAGTCCTTTTTTTATTCGATGCCATTTAATGTGTTTCATGCCGTGACATAGATGGGCATGAAACCACATGCTCATTCCAATCATTCCATACCACCCACTCCATACCTTCCCCTTGATCATTCAATCAGTCCATGCCATTGCAATTCACGCCATTCTCCCCACCATTTCCGATCCTAGCACATGCAGACTTTCCACATGCAATCAAACCCATATTCATACCAATTATGGCCGATTGCATGCTGTCCATCGAAGCACCTTCTTCTGAACTGCCGGTCTGCCGGGCTTGGTCACTCTCCAATCCTGCATCCAAGCTTCCCACTAATCCCTGTGTTGGCTGCAATGACAATTCATCCCCCTGCTGCCACAAATTTGGGACAATAGCCGATCTGCTTCCGTCCTCCTCACTTGCCGCTGTTGATATTCGGTTTTTACGAAGCTGATAAGAGCCAGCTCCTCTTGCCCTTCCAGCACGTTTTGATGCATTCAACTGATTCTGCTTCGTTTTGACACCACCACCACCATTACACTCGTCCACACTGCCAGCAGCAGCAACGCCAGCTGCCGTAGAAATAGCAGTGGCACGACCTGCTTTACGGGCTCTACTTTGGCTGTTTCGCTTGCTGGGCTGAAGCTTTCGCGCAATGAGCTCAGCCTTTTTCTCCTTCTCCTGCTCCAAGCTCGATTCAGGAGTTGCAGCATGTCGTGGAGGGACGAAGAAACGACGCACAGCAGAGGAAGCTGCAAGTAACATGCATTTGATTGTGCGGTACAGCAGGAGGAGGAAAAGGAACGAGAGGAGGACGAGAGGAAGGAGTTGGAAGTGAAGAGACGCAAGGGAAGGTAGCGATCGGTGCAGGCGAGCAGGAAAAGACGCCACTCGGGTTGAAACCTCCAACCTGTGGGAAGCAGGAATATTGGCACCACTCAACTGAAACCATTCGGGAACGATGGATGCTGGGCGAGAGGGCAAGCGGTGTAGGTTGAGTTGAGAATGTAGGACCCATGGAAAAAGGGAGAGCAGGGGGGGTGCGGTTGGATCAAGGGATGATTATAAATCCAGGTTGTTACTTTGATAATCCCCAAAACTCCTGAGCGACGACGGCAAAAATCGAGGTGTGCGCAGCAGCCAAGTTCCGGGAACTCACCTAGCCTGACCCAAGGTGCGTGGAACAGACTCAGCAACTGACGCTGATATGTCAGCAACCCAAACAGAAGCCACGGCAGCTGCCTTCTCAAGCGGAGACTTGGACGACGGAGGTGCCATGCCCCCATCCGCCTCATCACTGTCACATGCCCGTCTTCCAGATTCCCTAGCACCAGATTTCTCCACGGAATCGCCATGCCTCCGCGCCCGGACCCTCTCATTATCTCCTCGTTCCAAGTCCCCTTCTCGTCCTCCTTTTCGCCTTTGCGTGCGTCTAGTAGTCCGCAAAAAGCCATCCTCCTCGATACGACTCTGCCCCCGCCCCTCTGTATGCACCTGCCAAGGCCTGGTTGACGTGATACCCGTCCGTCCTGGGTTGGTCAACGTTGCTTTTCCCCACTTGCTGTGTGCAAATCGGCTCACAAGCAGAGCGCCAGCAGCAGAAGAAGTAGCCTTGGTATTGCTGGCGCGAGCGAAGGCAGCACCAATTGAGTGAGGAATAGCGCCTCCCGGATGTTCTATTATCACACCGTGCTGGCTTGCTTGAAGCTGCGACGCCATCAGGAGTCGGAAAGCGGTGAAGCCTTGTGCTCTGAGCCTTGAACCAGCCGGTGAGTAGTTTACGGAGCTGGCACGAATCAAAATCGCTCGCCTGAAAGTAGTAACACCAGGCCAGTACAGAGAGCAAATGGCCCAAAAGTTTTGATGGGTGAGCTTCCGGGGTTGTCACCTTTTTGGTGATGACTGAACAGATTCGCTAGACAGAAGGAAATCATCGTCACCCAGATTAGCGAATGCAAACATGTCGACCATGAGTGTTCTTTGACGACGACTCCTGCCCCGCTGTACATGCTCATCATAGAGACTGATGAGCGCAGCCCAACTGGGCGACGGTATGTTTTTCGTTCTAAATAGCGGCCACGTGTGACACCAATGTATTCGAAGCGCTTGACTCGAACATGCATTCTTCCTGGCCGGCCACGTATATATTATGTGCATGTGGTTTATGGTGGCACCAATGCATGTGCCCCATCATGTGCACTGCTCAACAGTACAGTATGGCATGATGTTTCATGCGTGAGCAATCTTCCGCATGCTCCACATAGAGAGTGAGCTATCTGGCAAGAATGTGTGAACAATTTTCCCCAGCCTATCCTTGCTACAACGGCTTGGGAAATTCATATATTTTTTTTACTCAATATATTGCTACGAGAATTATATGTAATATCTCAATACCACTAGTGGCGGAAATAAGAGCACAAATTCTTGTTATGCACCTGCTTACATTACACCTGCACAGAGCACAACAGTAACAGTTGGTAACCAACGCTTAGATCGAATAGGAAGGAATTCTGCACTCAGCACCAACACACAGACCATGGTTAGGTTAGCAAGGTAGGACGTTGCAAAAGCATCCCAAAAAGCGGCTGTCGCGTGATGATGTGACCGGAACGATTTGCAGTAAATGAATATCTTCAAAAACAGGTATAACGTTGGCGATATCATGGCAATAAAAAATCTCCCAAAAAAAATCAGCTCCAGCGACAATAGGCTCGGACGCTTGGCGACAATAATAATCTCGAGAGTCAATCATCTCGGTGATGTCATGCGAGGGTCTGTCTCTGTACAGAAATAGGTTCCCAAACGGTCATGTTAGGAAACAGAAACTCACCTAATGTGGGCATGAAAGTATCATTGCCTGTAGGTTGTGAGGCGGTATAGCGTGATCACGAGTCCCTTGAAGCCAGAGCAAAGTCCCTTGAAGCCATGGCACGGAAGGAATTTCGATATGCTGGTAGGAGGATGTAAGAGAGTGAACGCGAGATGTGTTAGTCTTTTACATATCACACGGGAACAAATAGCAGTGCAATCAGCAATCAGCCAGAGCACCTTGCAAGCTGTCGAGAACGAGGCAATGAGTACGAGGCATGGTATGGTAGTCATATGAATAGAGTGCTGAGTTGGGGATGGAATTTGAGTTGCGAGGGAGAAATTCCACCTCCGCCAACGGAAGAACAACTGCTGGCGTTGTGTCGCACGTGCTGATTATTTCGGGCTTTTTAGTTCCATCGTCCATTGGTGAAGCCTCCATCGTGTCCCAGAAGTTCGCCTCCCATGGATCTCTTCAGGGTTTTCAACCCAGCATTTCGTGAAGCCGACGTGTCAGCTGGTCTTGAAAGCTACAGCTTTGAATTCGCGTTATCGCGACGAAGCGAATGGTACACTTATTATGTCCATCAGGCGGACATCTTAACTATTGCTTCTCGGGATCTGCTGTCAAGCTTCCAAGGTTTCATCAGCCATCAGGCAACGCATTCAGCATTATCGAAGATTATCATCCACTGGTTGTGTCAGGAATCTAGCGCGCAGGACGAGGATTGGTTATTCATATTACAATATACTACCAAGGCCCATGGACATCATCCCTTGGTTGCGTCAGCTGGAATACAGCACATGTGTCAAGAAGACTCAACAGCTAATGGGGACATGCGGTCTCTACTTAAGAAGATGCTCAGACACCCAGCGTATCAGGCATTTCTGGCCTTTTGTCTTACAACACTGCTGGTCTACGATCATCATTGCACCATGCCGCGTGCTCCGCCTAAAGGGAGAGTGCCTTCGACGAAGAAGCAGACTGATGCCATGGAGGATCCACCGCTACCTGCAGACAAAGGCAAAGAGAAAGTGGTTGAGGAGGATGCTGCTGTGACCATCCATACGGAAGGGAGCAGCTCTGGTCTGTCCCTGGAGGAGAAACTTGCTGCGCTTACCTCTGCTCATGCTGACGCTGATGACTTCACGGATGATGACTCCGACGACGAGCTTGAGTTTGATGTCACGAAAGACCTCGTCGCCAAGCAGCGCTTCACGGCCATCCTGCTGATCCCGTTCATCCTGCAGCAGGAAATGGCGAATGTTATTCTGACCGTGCGAATGTTGTTAAAGCGTGTTTGGTCTACCCTGTTATCTGACGGAGCTAACACCCATGTGGGTTGTCAGGACCTGTTCCCGGCTTATGTTGCAAAGACGAAATACAGCCGGCTTCAGTTATCATTCCTGAAGGAAGAAGATGCAGTTAATGTGCGTCAGGCGACATTGGAATACCAGCGTGCGAACAACAGTGTCACTCACAAGCTCCACTGGCTGCATGCTGAGAATGCGGCCTTCATTCGATTTAAGGCGTCCAACGCGCGTGCGCTCGAAGTTCTCTTTAAAGGTGTTCCTGCGAATATCACTCCGGAAGGGTTGGAAGAGATGCTGACAAAACACAAGCTGAAGATTCGACAGGTCACACCGTTCCTTGAAGGACACTGCTTTCACCGTGTGCTTCATCCGGTTTCTGGAGCTGACACGGACGTGATCAAGGGCTTGGTTATTCCACATACGGAGGAGAAGAAGCGTCGCCATATTCACCAGATCAGTCATCCTCTGGAGCACGGCAAGAAGCTCCTGGTTCACTACCCCATGCTCTCCTGTCAGCTCTGTGGGGGGTGGCATTATGACAAGCATCATGATGTCTTCGTCACAGAGCGACAGAATAACATAGGGAAGTGGGACTTGAGTTTGAGCCGGGTGCATAGAATCAATGGTAACGGGGCAGTAATGTTCTCAGCTGATTGCTCTTACCTCCTGTCTTCTCCTGGTACTGACCCATTGGCCGCCTGTCGTACCTGCGTCCCTGCTGGCATCACGCCTGACACGTCCGATCCTCCTGGATCCTGCGATTGTGCTGATTTCCACTGGAAATACCAGGGAGGAGTGGATATGCACACAGCTGAGCTGCGGAAAGGCGCACGGAAAGCTGTTTGTTGCTGCTGCAGAACATATCACCTCGGCTCGACACCTTCACGGTCAGGAGGAGATAGGTGCTGTCACGCGTGCTACCCTGGGGACAGTAAACCTGAAGGGGATTCGCAAGGAGTACGAGATTTAGAGTTTGCGACTCGAGTCTCAGCGGCAGTAGCAGTCGGATGGTCGGTGGTTGCTGTACTTTGCTTTACCTGCCTGTGGATGCGTAGAGGTGATCAAGCTGTGATTAAATGAATACACGGAACACCCTCTCCTTTGCGGGCCTGAACGTCAACGGCCTGGGTGACAGTAACAAACGGAAACGAACAACTGACTGGACTTACAGTACGAAAGCGGCAGATGTGATGATACTCTCAGACACTAGGATAGCCTTAGACCACCCTTATTGGTCCACCCTTAATCTCACCTCCTTTGCTGCTACCACTCCGATTACTCGAGCTGGGGGTGTAGCGATCCTTAGCCGCAGGACCGACCTCTCCTTCCACAATTCGCTAGCGCATCCTTCAGGTAGATTAGTGAAGACTGAGATCCAGTGTGCCAGCCTGAGCCTCACCCTGCTCGTGGTATACTTCCCGTCGGACAAGGCCTTGCGTAGAGCATTCATCAAGACAGTACTAGGACCCACGGTTGACCTCATCCCGCGCGGATCCCACCTGCTCATTATAGGAGACCTCAACATAGTCGAGAACCCAGTGTTAGATAAGACTTCGAAGCAAGGATCGTCAAAGGAAAACGACTCTCTCTCCCAGAGATGCAAGGACTTTGACATTACTGATGCATTCCGCTCTCTTTACCCTTTCAAGCGCGAGTTCACCTTCTTCTCGCAGGTACACCAGGAAAGCACTCGGATTGATCGAGCGTTGGTCTCTCAGTCCCTGCTTCCGCGTCTCATATCCGCCTCTCATGTCAAACCTGAGGAGCCAGTCTCTGACCACGGCTTCGCCATTCGCATCGCCTTCAAGATCAAATCGCAGCTGCGCACGGGCCCGGGGCTATGGCGCATGCACCCATCCATGCTGCACAGACCAGGTGTCCGTAAGCTTACGGAAGAGGTGGAGGGGCAGGTTGCACAAAAAGGCGGTGATTTTGAGGTTCTGATATCTCGCCTGAATATCAGCCTTCGTCGTTACTCCAAGGAGGAGAGCAAAAGGATAAGGGCGACGATCAATCACCTTTCATCAATGGTCGCAGGGTTGGCGCAAGAATTCATGTGCAACCCAAAAGATCAACTGCTAAAAGAGAGATTAAGGAAGGCGGAGCGGCAGTTAAAAGAGTATCACGCATGTCGGCGAGAGAGGAATCACCTTATGGCGGGAATGGCCAAGGAGCTAGTCGGTGAAATCCCGTCTCCTCACCTCTCAGCGAGGATTAAGATGCGGAGGGTTAAGACACAGATAACGGAGCTGGCGGTTCCCGGGGGGGTGGTAACTGAGCCAAAAGAGATTTTGAAGGCGGCATCTGAATACTACAGCGGTCTCTTTGGGGAGGATAAGAGGACGGCACTCTCAAACTGGGTTCCAGCAGCGGGGAAAAGGCTTTGGTTCTCGGAGGCGGAGTGTTTGCAGGAGGACTGGACAGAAGCAGAGGTGAAGCGTGCTCTCAAGGAGATGGCTGACAATAAATCTCCGGGGAAGGATGGGCTACCGAAGGAACTTTTTGAGCAACATTGGGACGTACTGGGGAAACACCTCATGGAGCTGGTACAGAGCTTCACCTCCTCATCGTCGCTCCCGACTAGCGTTAAGGACGCTGTAACCATTCTTCTGCATAAAAAGGGAGCAAAAGAGCAGTTAGAGAACTACCAACCGATAACCTTGCTGAACTTCAGTTACAAAGTACTGGCAAGGGTGCTGGCAAGCAGAATTAAAAAGGTGCTTCACAAAGTCATCTCGGAGGAGCAGTTTGGCTTCATACCGGGGAGAAGGGTGTCGGATGCGGTGGGGCTTGTAGCGGATGTCATCGACGCGGCAAAGAATGGCATGGAGGACTGGTATATGCTGCTGGTCGACTTCAGGAAAGCCTTTGATTCAGTTTCCCGGGACTTCACCTTTGAGGTCCTTAAGAAGATGGGCTTTCCGGAGCGTTTTGTCGGGTGGGTGAAAGGACTGCACGACAACACGCGCACAAGTTTATTAGTTAACGGATGGATGGGGGAAGCAGTGGATGTGGTATCAGGAGTCCGGCAGGGGTGTCCCATCGCCCCTTACTTGTTTCTCTGTGCGGTGGAACCTCTGGTGCAGCTGGTGGAAAGGAAGAAGTTGGGAATTACCATCAGGGGTTGTACTGAGCAACGGCTGGCTTACGTCGGTTATGCCGATGATACTACTCTCCTACTTCAGGGAAAACAACAAATCGTCAAAGCGGAGGAAGTACTGGAGGAGTTCAAGAACATCTCTGGGTTGGCGACGAATAAAGATAAATCGGTGGTGCTTCCGCTAGGAGTTAACCTTGGCAAAAAAACCTGGCGCACAGATGGCTTCAGATGGGCAGGTGCGGATGAGGCTGAAAAGCTTCTTGGTATCTGGGTCACGCCCAGCGGAAGCTGCCAGCCAACCTGGGACAAGGCCCTGGAGAGGATTGTGGGGAAGATGTCCCTGTGGCAGCCGCAGTATCTGCCGATTAAAGCAAGGAGAGCTGTGATGGATGGTTACATCATGCCGATAGCCTGGTCGCAGGCCCAGGTGTACCCGCCGCCTGCTCGGACCTGGGGGGTTATAACGAAGCTGTCGCACACTTTCATGTCAGCCAACAAGGTTACAACGGAGAAATGTTTCTTCCTATGGAGTAAGGAGCTGCTGTACACGCCGGTGTTGGAAGGAGGTGTGGGGGCAAAAGACCCAGAAGCTATGCTTACCTGCTTCACAGCCAGGAGGATTGGGTTGATACTCAATGAGTCCAGTCAGCTAAAACGGAATTTGCTACGGCAGGCAGCAGACTTACCACTGGGGCTCGATACCTTTATGTCGCACGAGAAGCTTCTGAAAGTTTGGGAGGGGAAGAGCCAGCGGTGGAAGTTGGCATGTGAAAACTTCATGCGCTCTCCTCTGGCGGTGACAGGGGCGGAGCGAAGCAAAGAGGAGGTGGGGCTGGAGAGAATTGTGTTTAACAGACACATTCTTCGGAAAGGCTCCACGCCATTTGGGGGACAAAAGGCGGCGAAACGGCTGCGAGAAGTAAGGCTGGGGGATCTGATCCGGAAAGATGAGGAGGGGAGGGGCACGCTAAAGGACCTGGTCACTCTGGAGAGGGAGCTGCTGGGGATGGAGGCTGCGAAGCTGGCACTGGAGGCCTTTGCTGCAGCACCAGAAGCTTGGAGGGGATTGCTTTTCTCAGCTGAGTTACCGCAGATGGGCTTTGCAGAGGTGTATGTGGCAGGGAGAGAGGGGTCAAAGCAGTTGCGCAACAAACTCCTGGTGAAGGGGGAGGTTGCGCCGATGAAGTCACTCAGGTCCTGTTGGGGGCATGGCAGCAGCGGGCAGTCCAGGCGGAAAAAGTGGGAGGACAGATGGAGCGGTCGTATAGACTGGAAGCGGGCAGTTAAAACCCGGGAATCGCTAGTCACCCCCAGCAGGCCAAGGGATGTTTTGCTAAGAATCCACAGTCTGAATCTGCAAGTCGGGGAGAGACTCCCCTTTCTCAGCAGTGGGCCGGTGTGTCCTTTCTGTGGGGTCTTTGAAACATTGGAGCACTGTTTTTCTGAGTGCCCAAAGATCCGGGTGGTGGTTGCAGCAGTGAAGAAGGCCCTGCGCATGATTAATCCTGGCAGGCGGGCGGAATTGCTGGGGGACTGGCTGTTCGGAAAGGCAAACTCCACGTCAGCATTCCCCGAGGCGACTCTGATCTCTATCGCTTTGCATCAACTATGGGTGGAGAGGTGTGAAGGGGCCTTTCGCGGGTGTAAATTTCGCACGAGGCGGGTACTGCGGAGGATTGAAACTGCTCTGCGCATGCATGTCAACATTTACGTGCGTGCCTCAGCGGGAAAGCTGCAACAGAAGGGGAAGGTGCAGCAAGCCAGATGGCACGTGATGACGAATCAGGAACAGTGTCTTCTGAACCGCATCAGGGTGGTGGAGGGCAAGGGCTGGCGGTGGTCGGCCAAATTCGCAGCAATTTGGGGCAAGCCACACAGGCCCCGGATCCACATGTAAGGATCGGATTTCTCGGAGGCAGGCATCCTGCTTCTCACGTACAGTTACGACTGTTTATGTGATATACGCTTCTGTACTGGTGTATAGCATATATAAGCAAAAAAAAAAAAAAAAAAAAAATAGCGAAAGGTTGGCGAGAGATTTGCGAAGTTGTCTCAGCGTTGTTCTGGGGTTTACCTGTGGGTTCAGCGATCCCCACAAAAGTGGCGAAGGATTGGAAACCGTGTGCCCCACCCACCCAGATCACACACCTAACCACGTCCGCGCTGTCACATTCGAGAGTGACACTGAGCCCAAGTCGAGCTGGTTGACGCGTCAGCAAACACCTTATCTGCTTGATGTCTGTTTTAGTTGCTTCCGTTATAACGACACGAAAATGTTGGTGATCGAATTCGATATTTGAAATGCAGCTGCAATGCATTGGCACCACTAAAAATCCAACACAACCGTAGCAAAATTGTTGTACCAAATCAAATTGGTGCTCGTAGAACGCGGACTGCTCATGTGTTTTGGGTTTTAAGAAGAAGAGTGCGCAGAATGCAATATCGCGGAAGTGATCACAACCACTGAGCAGATAATGAGGCCTAGGACAAATATAACGAAGGCTAGCTAGGCCGTAATGGCGGGACTGCGCAAGGTCGGGTGCAGGTTTGGGGTTGGGAAACCCGAAGGTGCACGAGGGACGTTCGAAAGGCGAGGTCGTCGGACCGAGCCTAAATTCCGAAAGTTGTAATTGTACGCGCATAGAGTGCCTCAGTAAGGAATTACGGAAATTTCCTTACAACCTCCAACTTTTGTCAGAATCAACTAGCAGGAATGCATGGACTAGAACAAAGTTGGGTACAAATATGAAACCCTAAAGGGGCTATACCTCATATTGGCTACCACACTACAGCATACACACATATATATAGCATATATAATTTGACACACCCACATAGGCAAAGTGGGGAGAGCAAGAGGTCACACGACCAGTCAAGAAAAGCAAAGCAAGCTCAGGGTGGATCACAACGTCGCCACACACACTGAGCACAAGCAGAGGGCCACAAGGCCAGTTCACATGCAGAGGTAAATATGCAACAACAACAACATAGTGATCAATGCCTAGCAAGAGCAAGCATGCAGATATATATATATATATATATATATAGATCACTGTACAAGCAAAGTCGCAAGTGAGGAAACGTGGGCACAAGGCCTAACAAAGTACAAAAGCGCTGATGATCACCAGGTGGAAGTGCCTTGGTGAATATATCAGCAGTGTTGGCCCGAGTGGCCACGTAAGCAAGACGAAGCTGACCACGCTCTCGAGCAAGGAAGTAACGCAGAGTGATGTGCTTCGTTCTGTGCTCCAGTCTGTACTCCTGACACAAGGCAATGACGGCCTTGTTGTCTACGTACAGAACTGGAGGAGAACGAGGCCGCTCTCCCAAGTCAGTTAGCAGATAGGTGAGCCAGCGTAACTCCTGTGCAACCATGGCTGTGGCGTAGATCTCAGCCTCACAACTGGAGCTGAGAACAGAAGACGAGCGTGTAGACCGCCAAGAAACAGAGCCAGAGCCAAGACTGAAGGTGTAACCCTGTGACGACCGCTGCGTAGCCAGGTCGTCAACCCAAGAAGCGTCCGAGTGCCCAGTGAGGACAACGTCGCCCCGTCCTCCAAGCATGAGCCCCATGCCCGATGTACTGCACAAGTAGCGCAGTACCCTCTTAACAGCATCCATGTGCACCTTTCGGTGCCTACCAGGAGCCACGTAGCGAGCCAGAAGGCCAAGAGGGTAGGCAAGGTCAGGACGAGTGCATTTCATCAGGTACATGTGACAGCCCACTAGCTCTGGGCAAGGACCATTCGGCTCTACGGACTCGTCCGAAGGTGGAGCTGAGAGCGAGTGACCTGTAGCCAGAAGAGTGGCCTGTGCCGAGGACCAGGTGAAGCCGAAGCGCTGAAGGACCTGTTGTACCATGTGTGACTGAGTCAGTGTGACGGTGCGGCGTGCTCTGTCCCGGGTGATATGCAACCCAAGGTAACTGCGCAGCTCACCCAGGTCTGTGCACGTGTGTCTCACCCAGGGCGAGAGCCTCAGTGTCAGCAGTGGCAAAGACCAAGTCGTCGATGTACACGAGGATGTAGAACGGCGGCAGCGCGATGTTGAAGGAGCTGAAGGAGCTGCTGAAAGCCGCCTTCGAGCTGCGTGAGATCTCGCCGGTGGAGAAGTACCTTGGGCTGGAGATCGTGCGCGATAGGCCGGCCAGGAAGTTGTGGCTGCACCAGCAGGGCTACGTCGACAAGCTGCGCAGGCGCTTCGTCGACGAGGAGCAGGGCGGTCGAGGCCCGAAGACGCCGGTCTCGGTCGACGCCTACGCTCAGCTGACGTTCGACGACGAGGAGGCTCAGGAGCGCGAAGAGGAGGAGTACCGGCAGAAGGTCGGCTCGCTGCAGTTCGCGGCCACGAAGACGAGGCCGGACATTGCATTCGCCTGCAGCAAGCTGGGGAGCGGCCTCACGGTGAGGAGCGACCAGCATTGGCGTGAGGTCAACCGTTGCCTCGCCTTCCTCGCCGACACTCGCGACACTGCCCTGGAGTTCGGCGGTGGACCAGAATCGTTGGAGCTGATCGGCTACGTCGATGCCGACGACGCGGGCGACAAGCAGAACCGGACGAGCACGGGAGGCTACGTGTTCGTCTACGGAGGGGCCGCCGTCTCCTGGTCGAGCTCGCGCATCAAGTGCGCGACATTATCATCGACCGAGTCGGAGTACGTGGCGGCCACGGATGCCGGTAAGGAGGGGCGTCGACTTCGTTTCCTCCTTGCGGAATTCAAGCTGCTCGACGCTGGGAAGCCGACCATCCTCCGCGTCGACAACAAGTCGGCAATCACTGTCGCTGAGAGCTTGGGGCTGACGGGCAACCTCAAGCACATGGAGCGACGCTACGCGTGGCTGCAGCACATGGTGAGGCGCGGGAAATTTGTGCTGAACTACATCCCGACCACCGAGCAGCCTGCGGATTTCCTGGCGAAGGCACTGCATTTTCCGGCTTTCAACCGGTGCTCTGTCGCCATCGGCCAAGTTCGTCTGGTCGGGGACGGCGACGACGAGGTGCAGCAGTAGGTGCCGTGCCCTTCTGCACGGCTGGTGCGGTGACGGAGTGCTGTGTGTGGGGTGCACGCCGAGGACGAGTTCTCTCCGTGGAGTACTGCCGTGAGGGCAGGAGGCCCAAGCGTGAGCGCGGCAGGGGAGTGTTAACGGGAATGGAGTGTTGGCCCCGCCCTCGCTTGGGCAACGCCGACAACTTGGTCGGATGTACGGGAGTAGCAGCCGACCACTCACAGTAGGATAGCTGCTCGACAGGTTACGACGAGCTGCAGCGGACCGCTGTGGTGTTGCTGTCGACCAGGATGCTCGACAGCTGCAACCGACTGGCCTGGGCGACGGGTGAGCCGTCCGGGAGGTCGACGAAGCAGTCCGTCGACCTACAGTTCGACAGGGAGGTCTATGGAGCATCGCGTCGAACTGCAGTTCGACCGGGAGGTCGACGGAGCAGTTCTGGTCGACGGAAGGGGTCCGTCGACCAAGGGGTAGCTTGACGGGAGGTGTGGTCGACCAGGAGCATCCGGTGGTCGACCAGAGAGACCCAGTGGTCGACGGGAGGCACCTGGGAGTCGATCAGAGCACCAGGGGTCGACCAAGCCGACCGGGAAACCTGCTCGACGAGTTCTGCGGAGGCACGCGAACGTCGTCGAGATCGCGATGGCGCAGGCGACTTCGGGCTGGTATCCCGAAGTCGATGTGGCTCGTCAGGCGCAGACAATAGCCGACGGATGCCCAACGAGGCAAGTCGGACCAATCGTCTGCGCACACCTGCGAGCGCGCGCACTGCTGTGTTCTACGGGGCACGCCGTCGACCTGCTTTGTTGGCAGGTCGCCCTTCTGCAGTGCTGGCGCGGCTCCTCTACGCAATGCTGGCAGACGGTCGACCGAGCTGTGCTGGCAGTCGACCAGGCTAGCTGCAGGGTTGCTAGGTGCCTGATGTAGTCATTGTTGTCATTGCTTCTTTGATTATTCTAGGATTCCAACTTTGCTAGTGAAAACTCTTGCCAAATTCTTCCGTGAATATGCAAACACTAAGGAACTAATCAAAGCTAAGATCACCTCTAGTAGTTCGTGCCAACCCCTGTAGTCTAGCTCACTACCGCTGTAGAGTTAATCTCCTCATGGTGCGGTGAGCGTGGAACGAACACGCGACCTTCAGATAGGAGCCGACTTTTGCCTTTTGCACCTACTAAGTCGTTCGTAGGCCGGCAGCAGCGATTGTCGCCATGGTCGACCCCGTAGTTGATGCGGGTGTAGCGGACACCTTGGAGGCACGTTTGGCTGACGCGAGGAGACGCCACGCGAATGGCAAGTACGGGACGATCCCCTTGGTGATCGCCGAGTTGGGCATCCGGTCGCAGTGGGCGACGGAACACCCTTCCCGTCCTACCTCTCCTCGACCGGTGCGCAACGAAGGTGGCGTCGACGACGAGGTCGATGGTGGTGCACGAGTCAGCGGCAGCGAAGGCACGAGGCAGAGAGGAGTGATCAAAGTTGACGGTGGTGTCGACGGAATCCAGGCGCGAGTGCAGCGGTCGACGGCGGCTGCAGGCAGCTCGCGTGCCAACGTCGATGTTCGACGCCGCTCTCCCCTACGAAGTGGTGGAGGGCTCTCGGTGACGACACACTTTACGGCGGGCGGAATTGCACCGGCGTATGGCTATTTCAAGTTCTCGCCAGACCGGATCGCCGTCGCACCGTTGCAAGGTCGACGGGACCTCATCACCTGGAGGGAGTCGATTGAACCTCAGCTAGAGGTCGCCGGGCTGAAGGGCTTCGCCGATGGCACCGTGCCCTTTCCGCCTGAGGAGGATGTCGAGTTGCGCGGTGAGTTTCGCTCTGCTCACCTGCTCACCTTTATGGTCATCTCGAGGTGCTGCTCGCCGGTGGTGCAGCTAGCGCTGAG